TTAATGCGCACACATTACCGTTAGACAGGTAGATTGTCGGATGTTAAACCAGTGGTCTAACGTTTAGGCATTCACCTCAAAACCTGAATATCTTGAATCAGTTTCGGGTAGAGTTGTAGATGCGAGTTGTTGAAGAGACCCAGGATAGAATGAAACAACTGTTCAGTGTTTTCTGATTTTGATAACCGATTGCTGAATAATTACTTCATTCTCAATCAATACACGAAACCAACTGACTATTTTGTTCACCAAACTATGAAAACTATAAGTTATGCGAATCTTTTAAAAAGAATTTTGTTCTAGGATAATACAGATTGATGTTCACCATGTGTTACTACATTAAAGGCTTATTTCGTCAGCAGGATGATTTTATCACTATCTAACATAGGTTATGAATCATTTCAAACAATAGCATCGGCACAAATGTCTGCCTGAATTATGTGCTGACGATGTTATTCAGAAGAACAACCAAAGCTCTACTGTCAAAACACCTACTTCAGAGTACAAAATTCCACTGTAATCATCCAACTGAGCCACAAATTGTTTCCACCATCTCAAGTAAGGATTTTGTATTAATTCATCTTGATAAAGACATTAGTAAGGTCTAAGAAAATCTCCAAAATTATGCTCCTCAATATTTGTTGATTCCAAACTGATAATAAAAATAATAATAATGGCTTTACTAAGTACTATATGTCTAGTAAAATACCGAATTCTCAGCACGAAATATTTTTGCACACTTAGTTTACGAAACAACCAGTGATCAGCAGTTAGAAATAAATAGTTTAAAGGTTGACATCTCACTAATAGTCATTCCTTTCTCAGCAGATTGCCGGCCACCAAGATGTCTCGGATTATACTTCTTTGTAGCTTGTGAATCGATACCTCATTAATTAATCGTAAATGAATTTTCAAGACAAAGCCTATCAGTTTCTTGATTACATTTTGTGACATAGAATGTTGTCTGTAGTTTGGCAATTCATAAAAAGTTAATAATAGCTGTCTCCTTTCATATATCTTGCAACGCTATGCCTAAATTTGAGCGAATAAAATTATCTACAGAGGTTTATTTAAAACTAATTGGTCATAAACAAACCGTAACTCATCAACTAAAATGTGTATTATTTATTCTGATCAGAACAGTAGATAAATATTAAAAATTCTAACATTCATACTGATTTTTCAATTAATTGTCGATACAGGGTAGTAGAGATTGTTAAATCGTAATAAAATCATTAACTCATCTAAGTGACACTACCTGAAAGCGCTAGATGAATATTTCGTGCTAATAATGGATTTCTCAGCAGTTATCATCATCCATGACTCTGCACATAAGAAACAAACCCAATACATTCATACCGCTTCGTTTGCATACAAAGGTGTTATTTTATAGCCCTGAATGAATTTACCATATTACCCGGCCATCTCTTCGATCCGACACTATTTAGTATCACTGGTTAGGGTTTCTTATCAAAATTCAGTCAATTTCCCCTCGAAGTTAGTTATTGGTAAGGTTATAAAAACAGTCTTTAAGTGGTTATGTATACTAACCGATCTAAGTGGATGAAAGATGGTTGTGAAGTGACTGCAGTTAGACGTTGACATCATTCTGTTCCTAAGTGCGAGGAAATAGACTAGCACCATCTTGAAGTCACAAACTAGGACGAAATGTTTATTCAGTGCTTTCAGGTATTCAATTAAGATTTAATTTGGATTGGCTCATGGTTTCATTAACATTCAATTAATATTACTTTCATGAAAATAAACTTCATAGTGATAATAGTTATCGTCCTTATCTTATTAATATCCTATAATCTAACAACATTAATTTCAACAATCAGTCATTAGTTAAAAGAATTCAGAAATTGTAGTAGATGAATAACCCTGTAATGACACATTTGTTAACGTGACTTGGAACAAATATGTAGGAAACTTTAATCTTCATTACGTTAACCATCTTCTATCGTCTAAGAAATTTTACACAATCTCAGAAGAAAATTTAAACTAAGACTGATTAAATAATTTTTTTATAGACAGTATTTCTCATAATTTTTTGTATCACTGTATAGTATGGAACTCGTCAACAATGTGTAATTACGATTTCACTAGTTGTCGAACCTACAATCATCAGATTTATCTACAAATAATTAACAACCCCATGAGTTGATAGTGAATTGTGCAAATTTTTAATTTCAGTCAATTACTGAAATGTCATTAGTTACAATCGTTTCACTCTCTCAATATAACTAAACCAAATTTCTCATGAATTCTCACTGGAACATGAGTTGCCTATCTCGACATAGCTATGTGGTTATATTATGAATGAATGGGGTTTTTGAAGATTGGTTCTAATCATAAATAATATTTCTTACAGACTAACAATTTTTGGCGCGTAGTATTACAAAATCAAGAAGCATTGTTCCAATGTTTTATCTTAGAATAATTGAAAATGATCATGGTGAACATTTAGAACGAAGCATCATCAAACACATTAGTACACTTTATTTTAGAAATTTTAAAAATTATTCACCATTTAACATTATGTTATTAAAAAATAACTGAAAGTAATTAACTGTCTCAAGGTCATGTACATGTGAAAGGTAGAATTCGAACATGTTATTGATTATTTAAAAAAAGATAGATGAATTGTACTTACAATTGACTAGTCACAGAAAAAAATGATCAATCTCATATCTGTCTAGTTATTTAATGTTAATTGAATTCTATCAGTCAAGCTGCAATGTCTCAACCGCTAAATCATGTGTACGTAATAAAGAGGTCACCACATAACTAGACAGATATGACATTAGACATGATTGATTTAACAGTCAGTTGTAAATAGCTATGTGGTAGGTCAGTAGTGTCTCGAATAACTTTGTGGTAGCATTCCAAAGAGTGAAGTTTAGTGGTGTGTATATGCATACACCAAGAAGATTTAGTTCACTGAAATTTGTAGGCGTGACTTAACGACGAGTGCCAATTATCACAATACTTATGTTATGAAATATATGATTTCTGAAGAGAGTTGAACTAGTTTAAGTGTAATTATCGACAATGAATTTCTACATTTCAATATTTCATAATCTTATATGGGACAGTGTTAACCAGTTACAATCAAAATGAAGTCTAACCCAAATATGTATATATATAAAAATCTGCACTTGAAATTTACATAAGTGAAACTAATGTATAGTTGAGTTGTTATTTTTTTCTCAAGCTTTGAGACGAACATTTAAAACTTTTAAAAAATTGAAAGCACCTAAAAAGATTGAAATTATTAGTAAATTATCAGTATAGAGTGTTGAAAAGATAACAGAATTTTCTTAGATTTTATATCATAAACTGATCTGAGATAACCTTTTATTTAAATGTACGAACTACTGAATGCATATTTCCTACTCAAACGACACTTCTCAGCAGTGCACAGTGATAATTCAACATCTAAGAATTGCACCTACAATTTTTAGTCTTGCATGAAAGCAGCACTTAACCTCTAGAACGCCAACTTCAATCAGTGCGCAATATTAAGCGACCCTCTTCAACCATCTGATAGGCAAAATGTTTTTGTGCATTGCATGTTGAAACATATACATTCGTTGGTCGCATTACATGCCTTAATGTAATTCTCTAAGTCTAGAACTAGTATCATTTACATTTTTCATCTCTTCAACCATATATATATCCATACATACTTCAGCATAACGTAAGTTAATATCACTATATCAGAACCACATAAAACACCGTTATAAAATTCTTATAATATCGTTTTCTCGAAAAGATCAATTAAGTAGTTTGTAGCTACAAAATGCTCATCTATCCGCAATGTCAAATAAACACGCATATATGCAACTGTAGGCAAGTTGTTGAAATTTAACTATTCAAGTTTTATGCTTGAACATAACACATTACATGAGTGTTAAATTTTTCAAAATCATATGAAATTGTAGTGAACACTATGACGTAACAATATTCGAAAAACTGATTGATTAAATTATAGTATTCAGTCATTAATTCATACACCAATAATGGCAGTATGGCACTGAAGAAAGAGTAACTATTGTTGATTAAAAGAAATGTTTCTTTTTGAAATTATTTACTCACAATTGAATCTTAGTGAGTGAATCACAAAATAACTAATACAAAAACGATCGCATTATAAAGTGTTTTTGAAGTTCCATCTATCAAACTAAGGTTACATAATGATAGAGAGAGAACAAACAAACCAAATATTTAAATGATAAATGTTCACTTGCTGAGAATAAATTTTTTTCCAAAAAATATCTGAAGATAATAATATTAATAATAAGAAATGATTAAAATGTTGAAAACACTAGATACATGAACAACTCATCAACTAAATATGAAAAAATTTAATTGCTAGAGCCTGGATGTAGGATGGGAGCTTCGAAAATGTAAATTTTTGCATAGAGAGCGATTCTTTCAAATGACGAATTGCTGACACCTCTGGAGTGTACAGGTGATTTACTTTTCTCTCCTTGTAATCCATTTTTTGAGCTTCAGGATGACTTTGAAGCTTATATCTAGTAGGACTCGCTAAGATATTTCAATATTGAGCAATTGATTGTTTTGAGTTCACTTATAAAGTACCATACAGGATAATACCTGTCAGAGGGTTGACAGAGCTCTTTCTCTATACGACTAGTATGGGCTGGTTCACAAGAGTGAGTATACATTGGTATGATTTAGGGCATAGTTTATCTTCGGTACATCTATGAATGACAAAACAGCTGAGTATTGATTCTTAATTATTGAGTACTTACACTTTCTAGGCACTTCTTTATGGCGATATCCCTTTACTACTTATATTTTATACAGTATTTTATTTACTAAATCACTATAAATATAATTTTACAGGTTGATTTAATTACAGAACTTTCATTGTCCTTTTTAAACAACTGCATTAACAACTATATTCATGTTATGAAACACTATACATTATACATTATATGATAAGTGTATTTTTGTCATCGATAACTCACCTTGAACGACCGAACACTTGGTAATATTGATTTAATGCCGCCAAATAATCGATCATTTGTTCATAAGATGTAAAGTATTCCGGTGGTTTAGGAAATCCAGCCGGTGTTTGCATAGCTTCTACTCCAGGAAATATGATATAATCATCCACATACATTATATAAGAATGAATATTTCGATAAATATACTGTATATAAGTTATTATATCTGATTTCTTTAAATAATGTAGAATACCAGGGTGGAATTCTTCATAATACAAACAACATGAAACAGTCAAAAATATTATTGTTAACCAGTAAGCACAATGATATCGTTCAATTGTTTTATAACATTTAGATAATAGTTTCGGAGGAAATAAGGTTAAATAAATCAGAATACAATTTATTGATGTTTGAACATGATTTTTATTAGACATTGAACAAATCTTTGAATTGATAAAAAACCAATCATCTCTATTAAGATTATTATAATTGTTATTATGATGATGATGATCACTAGTATTTCTTTCAAATTCTAATATATCATGATGTTCACTGAATACGATAGACAAACAAAGGTTGTATAAAAAGTAAATTTTGATCAATCTGATTAGATGAGATGTGTGCATAGATTATTATTATTACTTATTTGTTATAATTTGTAGATTCAAACAAACAAAATTCATATACTAAATTGATCAATGCCAATAGTATGCATCACTTACACTTGAATCAACATTTTCAATGTTTCAATATTATCTTCGTTTTGTTTTCTTTTCTTGTTTTAATGCATATCAGAACCTCATTATTTGATTATATTTTTTTTTCTGGTCAATGCGTACACATTAAGATATTATTTACACTAGTCGATTTAGTTTACTTTTAAGTATGTGGATTGCTTTTTTTTCATTGAGTAATGATGTTGTTAAGTATTCATTTGCCAATCAAAATAGACAACCAATAGAAATGTGCATTGATATTGTTTATAATGATTATGAAGTAGACTAGATATGAAGATTTATTTATTACTTGTAAGTAATATAAACAGTAGCCATAATATTCTCAGGTGAATTTTATTCCACATGGATTGATGTAGAGTATGATTTTCTAAACACTTCAACCTAAATATACTTAACATTGAAAAAAATGCACATGTTCTGATATAGATTTATTGGATTTCACAAGAATAGTTTTGTTCATATACTATTAATTCTTTAAGACAAAAAAAACAATCAAAGTGATAAATGAAACTATTTAGAGAGAATAAAGATTTTTTTGAAAACCTACTATGCAATTGTGGTGTGAGCTACTTATAAGTAGTATATGACGTGAGTGACAACGTAATGTCTGGCAGCAGAAGATGGGGGAAGATCAAGAAAGAAAGAGTTAGAACACAATGGAATTTGTATGAAACGCATGAATAGTAGTGACAATGGATTGATGTTTTGCAACAGGAACAGTCCAGTTCGATATGATGAACTGATATTTTGCAAATTAACGATTTATGATATGGTTTTCCTATTTTACTGAGTAACTCTGTAATTTTCGTTAAATACAATTCGGTTGCCCCACGTGTGTTCTCCTTCACTACACAATGTATGATACAGAGATCCCAGGATACTGTAAAAGTTTCTTAATGATGATGTTTATTAAAGTAGATCAAGTGATTACTACTTCAATCACGTTCATCCTTAATACTTTCTATCTATATTTACACTTAGATTCATTCTTTATATCTAGTACTGATACACCACAACAATGACCTTTAACAGTGTGAAAATGCAAGACATGGGTTCGAATCTTGTAGGATGTACTGGTTCCCTTAAATTTTCACTAACAAAGAGTTCCTTTATGAGTACTTCTGCTAATCGTCTAACATTTAAGAGTTGTCAATCAGTTTACTAGGGATGCTGGATATCCTAAAAGGCTGAAAATTATACTATCATAAACTTGGGAGGATATAAGTTACTCGGTTGAAAGACTTGATATATTATCACATTTCTAGATATACTTTAAAGTGATTTATTTTGCATCACGAAACAAATTCGATTATGACAATGCGTAAATTAAATAAGCATATTTGTTGTTTAAAATTGCTTTTAGGTGATATCCTGATAATGCTCAACTATGATAAAAGTGTAGTACAGATATGAAATAATCTGTTTTGGTAATAACACAAACCGTTCAAGGTAAACATCATCTATTGCAAAATAGGAAACACTAGACAATCGTTTCTATAAGACTCCTCATCTGAGCATACTTATAACTTCATTACCAAGTATCAAACCTACAATCTTCAATAATTTTCGGAGAATGATCAGAGCCTAGACCACACTGATCCGGCATCAAACAGCTGTCCAGTGCAACCGGGTCTTCGAAACTCTAAACCTGACTATAAATCCTGAATCTGTTGTCAATTCCACAGTCCTTTTAAGATTTATTCACCCATATGAATATAAACCATTATTGGATCATCACTGATTTCAATGAGTGAGAAACACTGATCCTAATTTCGAACTTCAATCACGGAAAATCTGACGATTCATTCAGTTTTTATAAATGTTTCAAAAATGGAATTAACATTTTTTTGATTAGCTCATAGATATATTAACGTCGTCCCAATAATATACTCAAAAATTTCGTCTGAATTCATCGTCTTGACTACACAAAATCACTCAATATCAGATGGAGTTTTAAATACTCCTACAACTGTAAATCTATGTTATCTGACTAAAATGATTCATTTAGAGTTAACTATTCTCCAATAAAATTACTCGGTTGATCAGATTGTTGATACAGTGTTTATTAATCATTGAGAGTTATAAAAATTAGAATCAATAACAGAAAGCTATCCTCCATAAAGTGTTTGATTATTTAAAATATATGAGGAAAATAGTCTAAATGTTAAGCGTTCGCACGTGGGAATGGAGGTCCTGAGTTCGATTTCCATCGGATAGGTCATCTTGGCGCACTGCTGAGGAGTCATATACTTTGAAGAATTAGTTGTCCATTGTTCTACGTTAACAACTTTGGTCTAGTTGAGACAAGTTTATTTTAATTGTGAAAATAATACAACTTCCACAAATCTCTTTCAGTAGTGTTGCACATTTCGAAGCTGGGGAACATAAGATCAAATCCACCAAAGAGTACCAGATTCTTATATATTACAAGTATGTCTTTGTGATAAGTGTCCGATATGAAGAAACTTACATCCTGGGTTTCTCGCGGACTACCTCTAAATCACAATGTATGTCAAAGTGATGCACGTCATGTTTAGTTGTTTGGAATAGTGACTACATCACAACTTGATCAATTGAATCCTGTCAGCTTTGAGTGAATATTCAAGCATGAAATTAGTCACTACTCAGTGATCGGTCGATTGTGTTGATTTGAATTATTAAATAAATATATTAAACATCATCTAACTACTTATTCAAATCCTTCAGTAGCAAAATTCATTTATCCAATGTATTTAATTGGGATAAAATTTTACATAGTCGCCAATTTAATTTGTACGGATCTAATTCCATTGTTGTCATTTTTATCAGTAATTAAAGGAACTCAACACTGTGATAATGTCATTGACAGATAAATTTCAGATGTAATTCTGATTGTGAAACCTTTCCATATAAAAAAGATAAAATAACGATTCGTTAGAGAGGTTATATGAAAAATGTCTCCTCTAAATAATGTACCTATATAATTGTTACATTAGTAAAATAAGATAGATTTATGTAGGCAATAACATTGGTTTAGACTAATTAGTCTACAAGAAAAAAACCTGTAACAATTTGGAAAAGATACTGAAAACCGATTTATTAAGTTGTAGAATGAAAAACCAATTCACATCACAGCAATCGAACAATTTTGTTGTCGGATTATGAAATGGTTATTTCTTGAGCAACTAATCAATAGAACGTTTTAAATTAACTAATCAGAATTCTGAAAATTAATTATTTTGTTGTGTATTTACCAGTCTATTTTCATGCTACCATCCTAAAACTGACTAATGATACGTTTGAACTGGCACTAATAATCTTGAACTATCCGTAAGCTGAACTCCTATCCTCAAGTGCCTTATCTACCCGGCTCAGAGAGCACAGCACTCACTAGCTTATATAGCTGGATTGTCAGTTTACAAGCACTAAATGACCATTTCATTCTAGTACGGTACTCCTCAACAGTGCACATATACGGCCCAATATACAAATAATCGAACTCAGGACATTTGATCCGTAATATGTAAAATAATTCTAACGTTTCTGAATTTTCCGATGGTTATTTCGTGCACACAAAAATCACCTTTCCACATCTCGAATTGGTTCAGTATGAAAATTATGATTTAACTAATTCTTACTTAATTGTTTGCTGTGAATCTCTGAATCCTAGTGCGGTGAATAACGATAGTTTTCAGTATAATGTCAATTGAAAAGTAGCACTGACATTTTTAACAGGATTAAAAACAAAGTCAGTTAGTTTACTTCAAAAATCAATAGATATTTCTAATCTATTTATAACTGAGAAGATAAGTTATAACAATTTCCATTGAAATCACGAATCGATCGTTGTCCGACCACCACTAGGACCCCAGAAGCACTGGATGGCCTAGTATGAGACTCATCACCGGTGGACATCCGCACCCTCCACTCGCAGGAATCGAGCTCAGGTCTAACTATTTAATTGTAAAATCAAAAATTACTGCTAACAACCAAATCAACTATGAAGTTCACAGAATAAACCGTTTAATCATCTTACGGAATAGTTCACTTTATTTCTAATGTTATTCAGCAAAAACAATGAAAGCTAAAACAGTTATTTATTCAGTTAAGAGAACATAACCTTACTGAAACTAATTTATATTAACAGTGGTTAAACTAAAAGATTCACTTCTTGGGAAGCAATAATCTAGAAGAGCAGATTTAAATCTATCTGACAGATTAATTATAACAACATTATATAAAATAATAAAAATAATAATTTTGTTTTTTTCAAAAATAAACAGTAATCAAAAATTTAACTTATTAAATTGAATAGACAATAAACACTGGATAACGGTATTTGTTTTCCCTTTTCCCCCAAAAAAAATCTTTAAAACTGAACAATTGTTCAATAAAACTCAGATGAAGGTAGTGGAGATTGTTGAATATTTAGACAATTATTAAAGATGGCAAAACACCGAAAAGCTCAGTGCTCTGACTGTCAAACGTTTGACTAGAAAACAAAAAGTTCTAGGTTCCATCTCTAATGACAGGGTCATGCATGCAAACTTCCCATACTGGGACTAAACAATTTTACAGTGCAGATTTTGAATGGTCAGCCTAACTCATATCGATTCATAATCTGATTCAAATTATATATCTCTTCAATTACTATGCACACCAAAGTTGTTTCGATTGAACAGTGAATATTTCTTACATTCATTGTATTCATTCATTCAAAGAAAAGTGTACCTTCAGGTATTTCCTTCAAAATGTCTATCATGACTAGAAATCATGAATAGAGATAAATCTGAAAAATAAGCTAGAGAAAATTTAGGAAGACACCATTCAGATCAGTCAACAACCAATCAATATAAATAAATTAAGCCCAATTCGATAATTAATTAGCAAAATAATATACAAATGTTTGGTGAGGAATCAGATGAGGAGAGAAGATTAACAAGTCGAATATTATTAGGTTCGTCACTAAGTATGCTTCAAGCTATTTCGGGTTCACCTTAGTCGATAAACGTAAACGAGACAATGAACCAGCGTCCAAGTAGGCTACCTTGATCCGTTGACTCGAAACAGCTAAAGAGAAGTCTTAATATAGCGTAGAAAGTATGTTCTACAAACAACCAGCAAGCACAGTGCAATCAAACACAGAAATCTCGTTTATTTATATACCAAAGAAACGTCCTTGGGACAGTCACAAAAATAGCACACTAAAATACACAACAGCTAATCAAAGGCAAGGATTTTCCTAATGGGAAATGAAATCTCAAGGTCAGTGGATCAGTCCATGCTCGCAAACATGAAATTCAAACTAAGGCATTTATCTAGCGAGTTCTGGGAATCTAACGTCCCCAAAAAATATGTACAAAATGATCTATCAAGTATCAGTGACAACTAAAAATGTTTTAGAAATTCTCTTGTCATATAAAGAATCACTGATAGTTAAATCTAAACAATCCGAAACCATTTCGTACTTAATTACGCCTGTAACCCCTGGTGGAGCAAGCATTGATTAGGATTCTCTTGCCGTCTGAATACAGTGGATGGAGTGAAATTACTTTGTCGGTGAAAACTATTTATTTCAAAAATGTCTTTCGTATTCATGTTTAACACAAACACTACAATTTTGAATAATAATATTGATTTTGATTATTTAGTCAATTAATACGATTCAATATCTTTAGGAATAGACATTATCGTTAACAACCGCTGGTGGGAAAGAACAATCCAGATCCTAGCTGAGGAATAAATCAGGAAGAAGCGCTAGAAGTGGATAGGACACACATGGAGGAAAGCATTCAACTTCATCACGAGGCAAGTCCCAACATGGAATCCTCAAGGATAAAGTAAAAGCGGAAGATCATATCTGAGGCAGACATGAAACTAATTGGAAAGAACTGGAAAGGAAGCCTTAGGTTCAAGAATGCTAGTCGGTTACCTATGCTCTATTCAGAGTAACAGGCGCAAATAAGTAGAAAATGTTTCGGAATATTTTTCTAACTAGACCATAGTTTGACAAATTCAATACAATCAATATCTACTTGAGACCATCATATAAACAGACTGATTAATCTACTAAGATGTTAATGAATACGACTCAAACTTTTGAGTAATCATCACACAACTTAATAACACTATAATAATTAATACTTAAACTTCCAATCAAATGATCGATTTTCATTTTACAAACATAAAATACCTTGTGAATATTAATGGATCAGTGATTTATCTTTAAAAATTATTTTGTTACATTATTTATCTGTGATCATTTATCCTTTAATGAGTTTTTCATAGAATAAGTCCAGTGTCTAAATCTTCATTTTCAAAAATCATTTAATGCTAAGTAATACATTTAAGATGAATTGTGTTCAATGTTGTTCATCCAAAAGTGTACAATTGTGGTGTGTGCTACTTATACGAACGATATAAGTAGTATAAGAAGGGACGTGAAAGAAGAAGTCTCACGGTCACAAGAGGAAAACGGAAAGCAAATGGAGCAAAAGCAAGAGGTAAATGGAGTACCAACAGGAAGGAAAGGAAGCAACAACAGGAATGGAAGAAGGATGGAGTGTTGGAAGTCACGACTCAAAGATGGTGTGCAAATAGAGTATTCAATGTAATGTTTTTGTTTATATATATATATATATATATACATTCAGATTACTTGATAAAGTTATTACTAAGATCTACCAGTTGTCTATTTTTTTCCGGAAACAAGTTTATGTAACCTGAATGCTTATGTGATGAAAATCGATTGTCGAGATTATTGTGAATTATTCAGTAATAACTTACAAATAAACTCTAATGGTTTGAATCTAACTAATTATTACACTGAATCACAAAGTTAGAACTTTATTTATGACTGATTTTTTCTAAAAACCTATTCGTTCAATTCCCAAACTTCCTTTGGTTAGACAGCTATCAAAATAAATAATTTGCTCTGAAGAATCAACGCTCACTAATTAATGAAAAGTCAAGTATTCAAATATGTCTACTGACTGAGATATCAAAAATATTTTATTATTTTTGTTAATACTTTATTTGATAAATAAACCTGTTTTTCTATCTGATGATGCGCACTGCTGATGAGTCTCGTACCAGGACGAAACGGCCGTCCAGTGTTTCCAGGTTTCTAATGATGGTCTAACAATGATTGGCTGATGATTTCAAATGTGATGATTATTTTCCCTAAATTCAAGACTTCGGATTATTAGTTCAGTCTTATGAACATTGTGTGAGAACGTTTATCAGATTAACAATGGCCACTTCATAGCATCTTTTGAAATTAAGAAAAGCTGCTGATTTTTCTATGGCTTGAGAATTTTAATTGTAATCGCGTACCATATTACAGATCGGACTGGTTTCCTGTAGAACGAATTCATATACTGATTAACGACTAACAGTCCAGGTCTTGACTCTGACTTCTTCTCCTTGAGACTTCTAACCTAGCAGTCAATCAGAAGAGAACGGCAAGAGGCAGATTTATTGTAGGTTGGACCATAACTTATATACAACCTTTAAACGACGCTGAAGTAAGCTTGAGAAAATTCAACTACTTACTTAGGTCAATGAGCGTTGCAAATTAGTATCAGGAATTAAGGTTGGTGTTAAGAATGAGATATTGGAATTGACAATTAGAGTTGGAGTTTTCATCAAAAATCAGCTATAATGATGAAATGCTGTTTCGACGAATGGATGAATGAGTTTCGTGATAAAATCTGAGACTTACTATCTTAAATCCGATTCGCTCATCTAGTTCACTTTTGCACTCAATTCAATTACGACTCCAAAAAGGCAAAGTAACATGCCTAATCTCACAGTATTTCAAATAAAAAACCACACATTTTATACATATTTATACCATAAATCGTGGACGGGAAAGCGAACAAAACATAATTAATTAGTAACAACTAGGGAATAATAAAATTTATAACGATATTCAAAAGGTCCACTGAAAACTTACACAGTAAAACAAATATAAACCTGCATGTATACTAATTGCATTTAAGCATCTGTGTGTTTTGTACAATGGACAGCTAAGACACAGCTGGACGATTTGGACTTTTCAGATGACCTTGCGCTTCTATCACACACGCAACAACAAATGCAAGAGAAGACAACCAATGTAGCAGCAGCCTCTGCAGCAGTATGTCTCAACATACAAGAAGGAAAAAGCGAAATTCTACGATGCAACACAACATGCACCAACCAAATCACTCTTCATATAGATTCTTTAGAGGACGTTGACACCTTTACATATCTGGGCAGCATCGACAACCAAGGTGGATCCAATGCAGATGTGAGGGCACGGATTGGCAAAGCAAGGGCTGCATTTCTACAGTTGAAAAATATCTGAAGCTCCAAACAACTTTCAACCAAAACCAAAATCACGATTTTCAATACAAATGTCAAAACAGTTCTAATGTATGGAGCGGAAACTTGGAGAACTATGAAAGTCATCATCCAGAAGATACAAGTGTTTATTAACAGTTGTCTACGCAAAATATTTCGGATTCGTTGGTCAGACACTATCAGCAACAACTTACTTTGGGAGAGAACAAACCAGATTCCAGTGGATGAGGAAATCAGGAAGAAGTGGTGGAAGTGGATAGGACACACACTACGAAAAGCACCAAATTGCGTCACGAGACAAGCCCTTATATGGAACCCCCGAAGGCAAAAGGGAAAGAGGAAGTCCAAGGAAGACATTACGCCGAGAAACAGAGAAAGATATGAGAGGAATGAACAAACATTGGACAGAACTGGAAAGGGAAGCCCAGGACAAAGTTGGTTGGAGAAAACTGGTGGTTGGCCTATGCTCCATTTGGAGTAACAGGAGTAAGTAAGTAAGTATGTAAGTGTTTTGTTCAACAGTATTAGCCAGTTGCTCAAATCGCAGTCCGACGACTGGTACTCTAAACCTTAGACCTTATGATTAACATTTGAACTAAATTAAAATAGTTCATTGTCAACTACTTGTACAGTTCATTCAACAAAAAAATTAGCCAACAAGTTTTTGGATATATTGAACAAGTACAAAGAAAACATGTTTGACTCCAACTCTGTCACTGATTTTTACAGGCTTAATCCCTGTGATACAAATCGATCGCAAAATAAAGAACAAACAAAATTTTGCTTTCATTTAATTTTAAATCAAGTCAAAAATTGATAAATTTTATTTGCTTCCTTTTTCGTTTTGTTTTGTTTTGTTTTGTTTGTCTCTGTAAATTGAACAAAATAAATCATTGAAACAAGCGGCTGTTTGAAAGTGATAATTTCAACAACAACAACGACAAAAAAAATACTCACGTATACACCATCATCATCATCATGGAAGTAGTCAGTCTATTGATTTAAGTTATTCAGTAAACTAAATTTATTTGGTTTTTTGTTTTTTTTTATTCACCAACTCAAAAAGACAACATCAACAAGGCACATTAAGAAAAATAATAATTTTATCAATTTAAATCTTCATTTTAAATGTAGCGAATTTTTATTATCTCTTTTTTTAAATTATTAAGATCAGTTTTTTTTTTATTTTTATTCAGTATACAATGATTGAATTAGATAAGATTTTTATGTTGATTTTGAGAGAGAGAGAGATTCACACTGATAAGGCGAAAGCGTTGTTGATTTGTTTGTATTTACATTCGTTTTATATTGTTAATGACGATGTTGAAGAAGATGAGATTGTTCTTTACTTCAATTGAATATTATGGAAAGATTGAGTAGATTTAGTCTAAAATATAAACAAAATAATAATAATAAATGGAGAGATTGTAGACATTTGAAAATGTATATCCTAGGACGTTTCGTCTGTAGTATGAAACGCCTGCACAAATTCCCGCATACTAATATGACTAGCTTCATGATACAATAACTGAAATTTTTATTTAAAAGATGTAACTAGTGGATTTTGACTATAAGACAGTTACCAGCTGAAGGCAATGGATGAAGGTTGTATTATATCGTGAATTTATTCAAGCTGGCCACGTACACCACTGGATGCCAGCCCATTGGCTATGAGGTTAAATGTTCATGTACGAAACCGAAAATCCTGGATTCGACCCGGTAATCCGGTTCTAGTACGGACAAAGTGGACGTCCGATGTTTCTTTGTATAGGTTACTGAATTTAAAAATCTAGCCTGACTTGTAATCTAGGAAGCACTGATTTTACAACCAAGATCGCCTCCTTTAACTGGAGACAGTAAACCGAATCAGCAAACCGAGTACTAATTTGTGCTATTCAATGCAATTACATAACTTAATGATTAAAGCCATACTACTAACTTACCTAATTAAAAAATTTTTAGTTAAGGGGCTACTATTTTATGTAGGTAGCACTTATTCGCTTAAAAGACAGAAATATATCCAAACATAGTGAATACATTCTATGTATTAAACATTCGAATAGCCTTAGATAATCTCAGATGTACATAGGTGACCGAAATTTCAATAGGCCATCGAATATATTTTTCAAAAACTCATCATCAACAAATAAATAGGACACTGAGACAAACAGATTTATCAACCAGCTGACAAAAATCACTATTATTTGTACAATCTACTAAAAAAAGGTTTAAATAAATAGTATCAGTCCACGCAAAATGAAGATTTAGTTTGATTTTTAGATATTCACACATAAAATACACATTTAAAAAAATCAAAATCTGCATTATAAAAGAATCAAAAACAGATTAGGTCTCTTATACTGATTTCTACGATTAATAACAGTTAAAAAAAAATAGTCATTTATTTATTTACTTTAATCTTATGTAACATTTTGAATTGGGCTATTTAAAACAAAATGTTTATGGTACAATCGATTTGATTTCAACAAACTCCTCAAAAATCTTCACTTAATTCAAGTTGTGTTCAAATACAGTGACTAAAGTATATGGTTATTGGTCTTTAATCTTAGTTGGATTATTCGATCAATTAACGTTGATTAGTATTTCGAAATTCAACAGTAAATTAATCCATCATCTGATTATTAGCTTAAAGCAAATGGATTTCGTTACACTATTTCGTTAGACTACTATATCAGTACAGTACATGTTCATGAGCGAATAAGTTTAAGCATCTTTTAATGCCGTTGATGTAATTAATCTTTAAAGGCCCATGACTTGACTAGATTTTCGACAAATGGTTGAGTATGCTATGAAATAAATCTTCCCTTCGATTTCCGTATATCATTCATAAGCGAACCACGTTTGTGCAACAGTGTTAACAAGAAGCCAAATACGAATTCAGTTGGATAAGTTTATTTCATGCCATTGTTCACACAGATTGGCATGAGAATACAGAGCGTAAAAGCAAAGCCGGGTGAATCAGGGAAGGCAACCGAGCCAATTCAATGCGATAATGCGTGGTTAAGTATTTGTAGTGAGATAAAAATAGCCTATACATGTTAAAGGCGAAGTAAGCAGCTTGTATACATACGTGACTAAAAACAAACAAAGAATATAAGCAAATAATTGTCAAGCTCGAAAGATGTGTAATAACTCTGTGAAAAATAGATTAATTAATTTTTTCCAAGGCTCAAGCGATCCATGTGGGCTTGACATACTACTAGTACACGCTTCAAACCCCATAGGAACACTCAAACTGATAAACCCACTTAGATGAACGCATCGTTTGTAACTTATCCTTGGTTTCTTTTGCGTCATGTTTTGTTGTATTAGAAAAGTTACAAAATAATTCACCGACAATACATTAAAAAGACGCCAAATTACATGTAACTTTCTCAGTTATAAACCAACCGATGACGCAATAAACCTAAGCAGAAGTTATGAACGATGCGTTCATCTATGTGGGTTTATCAAATTCACCGTTTCTGTGCGGTTAGCTGCTACATCAACCGTAGTCACGTTTGCTGATACTTACTCTCTCGTGAATATGTACTGACATGGTTTTTTGAGAAAAAAAAGTGTGACAAAATCTATTAGTGGAGTAATTCTTTCCTACCTAAAAAACATACAACTTTTTAAAATTATTATTCTCATTTAAATTACAGGTTATATATATATATATATATCTTTGGTCATAAGGTTTAAATATTATCGATACATGAGTAAACATAAATTCCTCTGCGCTTCACATTCACCTAAACTTATCAGAAAAACTTTTCAAACCTGTAATTATAGTTCTTAATTTATTTTAATCAATTTTCGACCTCTACATAATTACTACCTAATTCATTTTATATTTTTTGAATTGTATCATTGAATGACTTTACTTATTTTGGTTATCACTGACTATTATGCTCATCTCTAGGTATACTTAAACTAGTAGGAGTTCACCATAGTCGAATAATCAGAACAAAACAATGAACCAGCGACCAGGCAGGCTACTGTGATCCCTTGACCAAATTGTATCAGCAAGAAGTCTTGATATAGCGTAGAAAGTGTATTCTATAAACACTCAGCCAGCACAAAATGAATCCAAGCACTTAAATTGCGTTTATATATACTCCATAGAGACATCCTTGGGGCAGTCACAAAAATAGAACACTAAACTGACACAGTGATCAACCACATCCAAAGATTTTTGTGGTGGGAAATGTGATCTCAAGGTCAACTGATCTGTCCATGAATTAAATCCGAAATAAGGATATTTGTCAAGCGAGTTCTGGGGATCTAACTTCCCCAACACTGGTAATCGTTCTTATTCCAATTTTTTTCCATCACCCATGTCTATTCATGTTATTCAACTTCAAGTTTTGATATAAATAATCGTCGTGATTCATGTAGATTAATACAAGCTTCATTAAGTTTAGTCTGGTTAGGTAAACAAACTAACGGTCTCCAAATGCCTCGGTACACCCAATAGTAAGAAACGTCCGCTCTCCTTTCCAGAATACCATGGCCTTGCGGGTATAATCTCTACCAGGGAAGTTGAGAGGACAAAAAGCAATGTTCCGGTGATTTAACTGGGTTTGTGAATACGAAAGATCCATCTAGAATAGTTGAAAAACTCTTATTCCAAACCAACCATACACCTAGGCTCCAGGATCCCGATGAAATCAATGATCGATGAGCCTATTATTGATCGCCGGTTACCATGGGCTCGCATCTCGTAACCTTGCTCCACTGTCTTGTGGATTAGAGTTTTTGGTTAAAGACTCCGGGAGTTGCTCCCTTATACAACCACCTGCTTCGGTTCAAGCATCTGAGCAATAATCCCAGCCTACTGAGAAATTCAATAATTTGAGTGGCATATATACAAGCGCCACTTGGTACCAATATTTATGTGTTTTTTGGGGATGTTAGATCCCCAGAACTCGCTTGACAAATATCCTTATTTCGGATTTATTTCACGGACAGATCAGTTGACCTTGAGATCACATTTCCCACCACAAAAATCTTTGGATGTGGTTGATCACTGTGTCAGTTTAGTGTTCTATTTTTGTGACTGTCCCAAAGACGTCTCTATGGAGTATAAATAAACGCAATTTAAGTGCTTGGATTCATTTTGTGCTGACTGAGTGTTTATAGAATACACTTTCTACGCTATATCAAGACTTCTTGCTGATACAATTTGGTCAAGGGATCACAGTAGCCTGCCTGGTCGCTGGTTCATTGTTTTGTTCTCGTTATTCGACTAAGGTGAACTCGTACTAGTTTAAGCATACCTAGAGACGAGAGTAACAGTGTTCAGACAATTTCCCTCGAAAATGAGAATATCTAATTCAGTTATGTATAAATAATAATTTAGTGATCCGACTTGAACAAACGAATAAGTATTTCATGAAAATAAATCTTTCATTTAACTCCGTAAATTACACTGAAGCTATCCATTCCTATTTCTGCCACGGTGGTAATAAAAAGCCAAATACGGCTGAGTTTATAGTAGTAGTAGTAGTGTGGTGTGAGCTACTTATAAGTAGTATATGACGTGAGTGTCAACGTAATGTCTGGCAGCAGAAGATGGGGAAAGATCAAGAAAGGAAGAGTTAGAAGAACACAATGGAATTTGTATGAAACGCATGAATAGTGACAACGGATTGATATTTGGCAACAGGAACAGTCCAGTTCGATATGATGAACTGATATTTTGCAAATGAACGGTTTACGATATAGTTTCCCAATTTCACTGAGTAACTCTGTAATTTTCGCTAAATACGATTCGGGTGCCCCACCCGTGTTCTCATTCACTACAGTAGTATATCGTCAACAAGAATAAATTAACTGATCTGCTCGAAAGTTAAAACAACTCCTGTAAGTGTGTGACAGCACTAATATACTACAATGAACAACAGCTCAGTAATTGACCAACACTTCATTGATCTATTCATCAGTTGTAAATATTTTCAATATCAATGTAATAACAGGAAGTGAATATCCTGTTAAATTGTCGTGTTTTTTTTTCTTTTTTATATCCGTTACAATATCAACGATTCAATAAGTCGGTACAAAATTCAATTATCCATTGAACAAAAAGAAAAAAAAACAACAGAAGAGTGTTTACGCTTAAATTGTCCCAACATTTGCTTAAAACTATTTGAAAAAAAAAATGAATTTGAAAATTCAAAAACCAGACATTTACAAGTTAAATAAATTAATCAATTGTTTTTTTCTCTTTTTTGAAATAAAATGAAAGAATTTTTTTAAAGTTAATTAAAACATTTTCAATATCTACTTGGATTACATTGTTCTGTAACAAACTCCAAGATATACAAAATTCATTAAGTCAAATTTATACTGGGCAACGTAAGAGAAGAATGGTTCACATACCGA